TTTTTTAACTTTTCTTTTCTTCTAATTCCTTTCATCGCCAGTATAATTATTTGCACTTTCTTTCCTTCTTGTCTATTTCCTATCAACTTCGGACGGCTCCCCCTTGCTATATAACGGTTATTACACCGTCGTGTCTTTTGTTACTATACTTAGACACTCTCTTGGCTCTGGTCCTGCCCTATTTTAAAGGGTCTCTTCTCCGACCGATCTGCGAACATCTCCGGCTCAACCTCGTTCCACCCTCACGTCTCCGAGCGCCCCAATCGATCATCAGCTGCATCCTGGCGCTGTAGCAGTTCGGTCGCTCGGAGTCTCCGGTCTCGTTATCGCCGTTGTCCGGTACACGGTTTATCCCCCAGGTCACTCTGCATGCCTGTTTATACGCCTTTCCAAGTCGAGCTCCGAGAGTAATGCCGGTCCACTCGTGCGCATCCACCGAGCTTCACGTCAGCTCGCCCTGAATCAAGCGGTTTCTATGGGAAGATCAACCGGACCGGAGAAGGAAATATATTGTACGGACGGGGCCATCAGACGGAACCCCAGGAAATAAGGCCTAGGAAGGGGAGGATGCTCAGTTGTAATTCGGAAAGAGTTCGCTGATTCAAAGACATGAAAATGGACCGTCCGCCTTCAGTTCCCGGTCTGGAGGAGCCCGTTATTCTGGCTGTCCGGAATGGCCAGACCTCAGACCATGTTCGCAGGCGGAGTTCGGACAAGTCCATCGAGGATTCTTCGTTACCGGCACCGATGGAGGCAGATATCAAGCAGACTGTCACCAAGCCACCGAATGCGAAGCTTCCCTTGCAGGGCGATTTCTCAGATGGGCAGACATCTCTTCGACACCCGTTTCCCCATCTATACCATTCATCCAGTACATCCAGGTCACCCTCCACTCGTACTTCTTCGAGCTCGCTTCAGGCATTGAACGAGGACACCGTCGTTGATGCGCGGTCGGATCATAGCGCTATCGGCCGGAGCTCCATCTCTTCTCGGAGGGTCGCCCACATGGGCCCCTCTGAGACTCATTCCGCAGACTATCCCGTCTATCCCGACCAATCCTACGCCGTCCTTCAGTCCCAAATCCACCCCACCTACCAACCCCCGTTCCTACGCACCCGAAGCTCTTACCCGTCCCGGACTGAGGCGGCCAAATTTGCTCCGTCGCGTGCATCACGCACGGCGGGCAACACCCCCCTCTCCAGCCCGGGCCTATTCTCCATTAGAAGTCCTCGCTCGACGCCTCCATTCGCGTCGGACGACGAAGGTCGCATCAGCAGTCCCTATCTCCATCCCACCCATCTCCAGCCCCCCAAAGAGTAAGTCCGACGTGCCACCGAGTGCACTAATATCCCCTATCCTGCCAAAAAACATTCGACTGTTTACTGACCATCTTGATGGTAGAACCCATACCGCTGAGGTGGATCGAGATCTTGTGACCGGAAACAAGCTCATCAATCAGTATGAGATCCTTGAGGAGCTCGGGCGCGGTGAACATGGAAAGGTGAAGCTCGGCCGCCATGTTACGACGCGACAAAAGGTTGCAATCAAGATCGTTCAGCGTTATTCAAAGCGTCGCCGCCTCGGAAAACTCGGTAACCCTGAGGATAAGGTCAAGAAAGAGGTTGCCATCCTGAAAAAGGCAAGGCACCCTAACGTCGTCAGTCTGTTAGAAGTCATCGATGATCCGAATCGCCAAAAGGTTTATATAGTCCTCGAGTATGTGGAGAACGGAGAAATCATCTGGCGCAAGCGTGGGCTGCGAGAGATCGTCCACGTCGATAAGCGCCGGCTGGAGCGTGAGAAGGCGGGCATTCCCGATACCCCGTCTTTCATGGAAGAAAGTCAACAGTACGTAAGGACAGCCCAGCACCTTCGTCGGCAGCGCGAGAAGGCACGTGAATGGCGCCAAGCACAGGCGGCATATGCACAAGAAGCTCCGATCCCTGCCTGGAGTCTGGAGCATGGTGCGGAGTCAGACGAAGAGGAGGATCTGGGGGGCGAGCCTATGGTTGCGCGTGTTCCCAGCCGGTCTATGGTGAGCACCGATGATGCCCACTCCTCTCCCAGTCAGTCTTATGTGTCGGGTCAGGAGTCGGCACTGGCTGCAGTAGAAGGCAGCATGTACGGCGCCTATGCAGACTATCCATTCGAAAGACGGTTCAGCACCGCATCAAGCAGCTTCGGCTATGCACCTTCCGAGCCGGAGTGGTTCACCGACGATGACGACATGTCCTATGTGCCTTGCTTGACTTTTAACGAAGCGCGCAATGCCTTTCGCGATTCGTTGCTAGGTTTGGAATATCTTCACTACCAAGGCATCATCCATCGCGACATTAAACCCGCAAATCTTCTGGTCACCAGCAACTATCGTGTGAAAATCTCAGATTTTGGTGTCTCGTACTTGGGACGCCCCATTCGAGACGAGGAAGAGGAGCAGGTGGAGGAAACGGATGCCACCGAGTTGGATGATGCTCGCGAGCTGTCTAAGACGGTCGGGACACCGGCTTTTTATGCCCCTGAGTTGTGCTATACAGGCGATGATTTCGTGGACGTGCTCGGCGCCGCCCCTCGGATCACCGGCGCTATTGATGTTTGGTCTCTGGGTGTTACCCTCTACGGCATGATCTTCGGGCGCCTACCATTCGTTTCCGATGACGAATACAGCATGTTCCAGACTATTGTGCGGAAGGAAGTCTTCATTCCCCGAAAGCGTTTACAGCCCGTGGAAGACGATCCCGACACCGTCAGTCAGTGGCCTCGCTACAGTGACGGCAGCAAACGGATGGAAGACGAGCTGGTGTACGAGTACATTGACGACGAATTGTATGATCTGCTAAAGCGGCTGCTGACCAAGGATCCGGTTAAACGGATCACCGTGAAGGAGATCAAACACCATCCTTGGGTTCTGCATGGCCTTCCTAACCCCAGAGCATGGGTGGAAGAGACGGACCCGGGATACCAAAGCAAAGGAAAAAGAATCGAAGTATCCACCGAAGAAGTGACTAGTGCTGTCAGCAAAGTACCATTCATTCAGCGTGTGCGATCCAACGTTGCTAAGTGGTCTAACTATCTGACTGGAAGGTCGAAAGAGAAGGATGGTCGCAAGCGGACTCCTAGCAATTCTCCTTCAGTCGAGTCATCGTCAACTACAAGCAGCACTGCCTTTGGGAAGTACCTTTGGGACAATCGGCGGCACAGCCTTAGGGGGGATGAAGAATTTCCACGCTCTCTCCGCTTACCCAGGGAAGGCGAGCATCCGCTTTCGCAGAGTGTCACTGCAAGTCCCGTGGGCCGAGAAGATCAGCCGTCTTATTTCGCTTCGTCCGATTCCATGCCAGTGCAGGATCAATCTACGCGCCCAGATCCTCCCGAGCGCACAACATCCACATTGTCTACTGCTGAATCTGCCAAGACCGTGAAACCATCGGACCACAAAAGAGTATCAGTACCCCAGCGTGCTGGTACCCCCGTCCGTGTGGAACCGTATGGGACCACAAACATTGGTGGCCTTTTTGGTGGCGCGAGCCGTCGGCTTGCAAGAGGCCTGCAACCTGGGGATTGGCGGTCCGATCGGTCTGTCTCAGGCGAGACCGCGTCTTTGGACGGTGACCGCCACTCGGAGCCCAGCTTGGCTTTGAGTGTTGCCTCTGCTGTTGGTCAAATGCAGAATTGCAACTTGTTGTCGAACGAGGAGCCGCTCTTGACTCCTCCCGATGGCTCCCTTGGTAGAACATCCAGCCATCGGCGAAACCGATCCCACCAGCTTCCAGGCAAGCATTCCGCCGAGCCATTCCACCTAACCAAGGAGGCCTTGTTACGGAAGAGGAGGAGCGACCTCGGGCCCGTTGGTGATGCAGACAGCAATCGTGGCGACAGTGAGCCATGCTCCGGTGACTACACGGGCCTGCGGATTGAGAATCACCCGCAAGTCTCAGACTCGTCGAATGACCAGTCCTCTGGAGATCCTCTTTCAGGAGGGCTGACAACATCGCCGCCATCGGCAGCTACAATATCCTCTTCGTCAATTGACGAGTATACTAGCGGCATGTCCCAGAGCACTTCTCACCCCAGCATCCCGTCTGTGGTGTCGGGAGCGTCGTCTCTCTCTGGTGAGAGTGGCTTCAAGGAGAAGGATACTGAATCAGCCGTTCAGGTTCCTTCGATTCTCCGCACTGGTGAAACAGTCAAAGCCCGGCATCCCTGTCCTCCACGACCTGCAGAAGATGACGAGTGTCGCTACTACTGCGACGACGAAGAAGAGTCTGGTGACGACTCAGAAGATGAAGGACTTGTCATTGGCAAGAAGAGGGCAACCCCTCAGAAGCCGATCATCCGCCCTGGACAGTCGAAGTCATGATAACAATACACACATGTCCTTTCCGGGGTCTTTCGTCGTCATATAAGCAAGGGACATCAAACGTTTCTTTCACCGTTACATGATGTTTACATTTGCTTCTCCTTTACCGATTATGACGCTAATACCATCATATAATGACTTTTCTGGGTGGTTTGTCCAATCACCATGATCATTATCTTGTTGGAGTTTAATTTCTGCGTGTATATCATTTATTCAATCAGTGGGGGGATATTTTCCTTTTCTATTCGCTTCGCTTCTTCCCCCCACATTCTTTTCTTCTTTCTGGCTGGTTGCGTCCCTTTTGCTGGCATACAGGAAACTTCCCTAGGGTTCCACATCTGTTGAGACACAGATACATTGCTTGTACATATATTTGCATTGGCGGCACGTTCATATTCGGTCCTCTTGATTCTTTTATCTTCATCCATTGGCTTGCATTCGGATGATGCTGGGGTTCATTCTGCGTCTATACATACTGGTCTGTTTGCTGCATTGGGCCTGGGGTCTGTGATTGCGTGTATGTAATGATGCTTGGAGGAAGGGTCAGGCTATACAATGTACCTGCCTTTCCCCTCTTTCTTTTTCTGGGCTTTGGATAGCTGGAGGCAGCGGGAGTAGGATTTTGCTTTGTGGAAGGGTTGCTATGGAAGGACACGATGCTGATGACCAAGTCGCGAGAGATGATGAAGAGAACAACAATATACACACAGAGAGAGACACTCACACGTTCACGATCCACTTGGGTGCGCCAGTGCCTTTCTGCCGCACATGGGAAAAGCGGGTCACCGTTTAGCCTAGTGTGCCGATACTTTCTATACCGGGGGAAGCCGGATGAAAGGTGAAACCGGCCAAGCAGAACCACGAGTCCGTAGAAGCTTAGGGAGGAGGTCTGAGAGCGTCTCCTAAACTAGATTTGGAGTACACCGAGAAGTCGTCGTATGTGCCCATGTGGCTTGCAGGGAGTCTAGGCGACCATCTGACCTCGGGAGATGTGGGTTTACCGCAAGTTGAATCCGACTTTTCGCCTAAGTATGGAGACAGGGAGTAGAGAGCCCGCGGTACGGATGCTGAATGGGCTCGGGCGTGCCACCGGCCGATCTGCACAGACGGTGTCATGTTCCTCCACCAATGGCTCGGCAGATTGGAAACACTTGGTGTCTCGCGATGCATGATCTGACGCTGACTGCCGTCCTGCATTGATTAAATCGTGGAGAACTCCGGTGGTGTTTAATCTGTATGGGCAGACGTTATCCTTTGCCTTCTCCGTGTCATTTGTAAGACGGACCCGGTGGACAATGAATGTCTCAAAGCGGCCAGTCGACGATGTCTTTTAAAAGGGGCTTTGATGCCGGGATGGACTGACTCGTACTGCTGGATCCAACCGTGAGAGTGATAACCGGGCTCATTACAGGCGAGCTTCGATGACAGCCATGATGATCCACCCTCTACTTCTTTCTGCATTGCCTCTGCTCAGCAGCGCCGCGCTGACCTACCGCGGGGCGGATATCTCCTCCCTTTTGATCGAGGAAGATGCTGGCATCAGCTATAAGAACTTGAATGGGGAGACCCAGGCATTGGAGGATATTCTGGTCAACAATGGTGTCAACTCGATCCGACAGAGGGTGTGGGTCGATCCCAGCGATGGCTCGTACGATCTCGACTATAACCTCAAGCTGGCCAAGCGTGTTCAGGCCGCGGGTATGAGTATTTATTTGGATCTGCATCTCAGTGATACGTGGGCAGACCCCAGTGATCAGGTCGGTTCTACTGCTGAAAGAAAAGACTGCGCAGGAAAAGAGTTGGAACACTAACATAAGAGATGTATATAGACTACCCCTACCGGTTGGTCGACTACGGACATCGACACACTCACCTGGCAGCTATACAACTACACGCTCGAAGTCTGCAACACCTTCGCGGAGAATGACATTGACGTCGAGATTGTCTCCATTGGCAACGAGATCAGCAGCGGACTTCTTTGGCCACTGGGCAAGACCAGCAACTATGACAACATCGCGAAGCTTCTCCACTCCGGAGCCTGGGGAGTGAAGGACTCCGACCTGACCACGACCCCGAAGATTATGATCCACCTGGACAATGGATGGGACTGGGACGAGCAGGAATACTTTTACAAGACCGTCCTGGCTACGGGGTCACTGCTCTCCACGGATTTCGACCTCATGGGAGTCTCGTACTATCCATTCTACAGCTCGGAAGCAACCCTGTCGGCGCTCAAGACCAGCCTTACGAACATGCAATCAAACTACGATAAGCCCGTGGTGGTGGTGGAGACGAACTGGCCCGTGTCGTGCCCGGACCCTGAGTATTCATTCCCGTCGGATCTCAGCTCGATCCCCTTTTCGGCTGCAGGCCAGGAGGAGTTCCTCGAGAAGCTGGCAGAAGTGGTAGAGGGCGTCACGGATGGACTGGGCATTTATTACTGGGAACCAGCATGGATCGACAATGCCGCCCTGGGATCCAGCTGCGCGGATAACCTGATGGTGGATGTTAACACGGATGAAGTGTTGGAGAGTGTCACTGTGTTTGAGGACCTGTGATTTTCCTCGCTTTTCTGTTTGAGAGCACCAGGATGATGCATCTCAGCTATTGTGTATTGTATTAAGTAGTGATGTTCCAGCGTATGTGTGTGTGTGTGACTAGTAGTATATGTTAGTTAATAATTGATCAACAATCAGTCAGTTACTCGATTCTACTTCCTGCATCACTTGTACAGTAGAGACAAGTTTCAGAACAAGACAAATGAACAAAACTAGATAGTAAGCACACCCATTAGGGAAATAACTGATGTAGATCCAATGAAGAAAGCGACACTACCGGGCCGCGCGCGCACAAACACCCACACACCGAAATGATGAAGCCTGCGGTTGAACCGTGGACCTGCAGGTTGAGAGGGGCAGCAGACAGGGTGGCTGTGCAAACCAGCGATCCAGTTGGGATCAGCGGTGTTTCAAGCTGCAAATGGTATGGTTTGGCCTGCCTATGGATCTATCTAACTCAGGGCCAGGAAATTTAAACCCTGACAGCTCGTCCTGAGAAAGAGGGATTGTGTGTGTTGTGTGTGTGCAACCGAGATAGGGGGAGGGGGTTAAGGCTGACAGGTTCTTGCTGAAGAGAGAGAAAGTTAACTTAGAATCTGGGATCTATCGGAAATAATAATAATCAATGATTATCGTAATACGAGGAGATCAGTGCGGGATATTTTGGCATATTACCCTTACTGTACTACGGAGGACTACTATTTGAAGTGAATGATCCTTGACAGGATGATGATGTTTTCCCGACCTGCATGACGCTGGGGGAGATAAGAACTCTCGGATACGGAGTAGTATTGATGGAGTGTCTGATTAGGGCAATGAAGAGGGATTTCATCCTCGCTGCAGCCTGTCAGGTCATCATGATCCCAATCATACACCCTTGTTTCCTCTTATTTTTATCTTCTTTTTGACTTTCGATTCTTGTTGATCAACCTGATGAGAGTGAGATAGACAGGCTATTTTTAGTTATTTCATATCTCCTACCCGATTAGATCAGCCGGCCCTCATCAGCATGAACGAACTATCGTGACAGGCTGTGATGAATCAATCATTTCTTCAGTTATTCTTGCTTTGGGACCCTTTTTCGATCAGCATCGTACAGGTCAACTCGGCTGTAGGCTACATCAACGGTTTTTGTTTGTGGTTTCACCCTTCGTTCTCATCTCAGTGTGGATCCTGCAGTCTGCCTTGTCAGATCAACATACACTCTTTCTCCTTCCACATTCATTGATTGGAAATCCACTGAGAGATTAATCCCGCATGATGATGATGATGATGATGATGATGATGCTATTCTTACTACTTTTCTGGTCAAGTGGGGGATAGATGGGGGAGAGATACTATTCATTCTCCCTTCTTTCCAGGCAGCATTCATAAGGGGTTATCCCCATTACCTTCTAAAGTATTGTATACATGTAGTAATACTGTGATAGATAAAAGATTATCTCAAAACACCACAATTACTACTATTCATATCTTGAGCACGCACAAGAACTAATCAAATCCCATCAACTAAGGAAAGCTCGTCAACTCAGTCATGCTCCTCCCTGACCTCGGGCGTAGAATGTAAACAACATAAACAGGATACGTCTGCGTCGCGCGCATAGAGCGCTCCCGGTCCTTTCTCTCATGAATCGCATCGAGTGCCGCGGGCTTGAGGACGTCTTGCACTAGCTGAGTCAACTCAACCGTGCTTCTCTGCAGCTCATTATCCCGCAGCTTACGGAATCGTGTCTCAACGTCGTCGAGGAAGCTCTTTGGAGTCTCACCCTCTCCAACGTAAAGTGTGACTGTGCCGATCTGTTCGCGCGTCTGCTCTCTGGCCCCGCGGTAGCGGAAGGGGGTAGATCGGGTTGAGAGACCGAAGCGTTGAATGGTGCCGTCCTCGGGTAGGAGATGAAGAACGTGGATCATGGCTCTGACAAGGAGAACGGAAGGGGGACTAGTGGAGAGGGTGAATATGTTTTTGAGATGGGAAAGCATGGGTATGTGAGTTGAAGCATTTACATGGTCAAGTAACCTGGCGCTCAAGTGCAATGTTCTCTGGGTATGGTGATTAATGAGTATCTATGGAGGTGATTGATCCCTTATGGTAGATGCAGTCCAGTGCACCAGGCGGAGATTCCTCCAGTCAGAGACAAATTTGGAGGAGACAAGGATAAAGTAGCAAGGGCGGGCTCTTCTATATTGGAAAGCTAGGCAGGCAGTCTTTACTGTAGTATACTTTACTGTAGTATACAATAGTAGAGTAGGCGACTTCACTAAAACCAATAAACCTTACTGGAAGACGGGGATTCACAGGTCTTTAGTTTACTGAAATAATATATAATAGAACCCCCCAGCATCAGTGGAAACTAAACTAAAAGCCATTAATTGACAGGTAGTTTAATAATTGTTTTTTTCCTTTTTGAAGAGGCAGACTGTCTTGCCTGAGGAATACTTGCTTTCGCACGTGCCCCCGGGAATCAGGCATCGGGAATCTGGACGAGTTTCTGCCTTGAACTTCCTTCTTGGACCGTCAGCTCAGTTTCATCATCATCCTTTTCGAGTTTCGATCTTCTTTCCTGTTTCACCTTTGTCCTGTCTCTTTCTCGCAGTGTGTGTGTGTGTGTGTTGTGTGTGTGTGTGTGTTGTGTCTGATTGAGTCTGCATCCATCTGCCCTCGTCCCTGGTCAGCGGCTGAGGATCGTCCTCTGCCGGCATCTTCCCCGGCGCTTGTTGGCGCCCGAGAATGTGTGCAACGACTTTCCCCCTCCAGACCGACTGCGCGCCGCGAGGCTGAATCGCAAGGCCGTCTGCCTTACTCTCACTCACTCACTCAACTCTCCCTCTCCCTCTCCCACCACAATCCCACATCCCCCCCTTTCCCTCATTTGCCTCTCTCTCTCTCCCCTTCCTCTGATCGCTCGTGTCCGCCTTTCTGCACGCGAATTTTCCATTGCTGTGCCGTGCTGGACGTCATCCACTAACTCGTGCCCGATTCCTTCCTACTTACTACCTCCCCCTCCTGGCCCTCCTCCACGCCCACTTCCCTCCCTGCGCCAGTTCTGACTCGCCCTTCCCCGCGTTTCTTCAGCTTCTCCGTTAGCTGTAAGATTGGACCGGACCTTACCTTCCAACTCGACTAAGCCTTGCTCATCGCGTGGGATCTATTTTTGGTTCATCCTCTCGTCATGGCATCCCAGGACAACCTGCCCGACTCGGGGCAGTCGCCCGCTGGGATGAGGAGCCGCAGTATCAGTCCATATAATGATCCCTCCGCCGGTTTGACCTTGGATGTCTCCGTCGCAACCACTACAGCTCCTTATACCTCGACTTCCTACAACCCTTCCAATCCAGGCGCCTCTGATTCCTACGGCTATAACCCCACCGGTTATCTCTCCGCACCCTCGGCCGCGCAGACGCTGGCCCCGACCGATCACACATACTCCCACAGCCTTCAACTGCCACAATCCTTCGATGCTGGGTTGATGCCCCAGCTGGACCAGTCGACGGGCCTGTCCTTGCAGCAACAGCAGCAACAACAACAACAACAACAACAACAAGCGACAGACGAGAATTTCTCTAATCTGTTGAACTCGAACCCCGCAGATTTCGACTTTGCCCTCTATCAGAACCCTAGTCCGAACAGCACGGCCGCTCCGGACTACGACTCCCCGCTCCTGCTAGACCCCCAAGTTCACGGTCAGTCCCGACCGGGCAGTCAAGCGGTAAACCCCGCCGACCTCGTTAGCCAGATACCCTCTCCTCATCCTTCGGCTTCTCCGCAATTGTCCCCAATCTCCCCCCAGGACCATTACCAGCACTCATCTCCCGGGCCCATGTCGCCGCCCAACTCGACGCCGGGGACTTACTACACCCCGCAACATTCCCGCCATACTTCCTTGGACCCTGCCAGCGCCGCATACATGTCGGGCAATGTGCATACCGATTGGCAGGCAGTCATGGCCAACTCCGCCTTCCAGGGCCATCGACGGGCCCCATCTGAGGTGTCTGAGGTGTCATCCGCTGCCCCATCTCCCTACATGTCCCAGCATGAATCTTTCGATGGCGTGGAGAACAACCCCTCCCCACTCCTAGCGCCCCAGCATGACCCCGGTCTCTACGACAATGCACTGGGCATTGAATCTTTCACTTTGTCTGATGGTCAACAACAGCACCACTCACAGGGCATTAGCCCCGCCCACAGTCCATATATCTCTCCGCAGTTGATGCCTCAACAGCCCACAGATATGATTCCCAACGTGCCGTACATCTCTGCTCCTGCGGGCAACACGCAGTACCCCACCCCACCGACCGATATGTACGGGGAGGGTATGATGGTCCAAGGAAACGGTGGCATGGGAGATATAGGTCAAGCATCGCAAATGGCGCCACCCTCTATCAACGTGGAATTCGCACCCCCGGCGAAGAATCTCAACCTCCCGCAGACGAAGCCCAGTGCGGACTTGGACTCTTTGAGTCCACCCGTTGCCATGCGTAAGTTGTCACTGCTCGGCCTGTTCTTTGCATTCTCTAGCACAATGCTAACTGCGAGCTTATAGGCTCCCGCATGCGTAGTAAGTCGGACCCATATGCCCACCCGGCTTCTCGCGCACGGTCATCATCTACTTCGACCAGCCTGGAGCCGTTTGTGCCTCCATCACCCCGATCGCTGTCGCCTTTTGATACCATGAGGGGCCAGCCACATAGTAATCCCAGCTCCCGAGAGCCGTCTCCCTCGCGATCGGGTCGGCGACTGTCCACGTCGTCGATCGACAGTAGAAATTACATTCTCGGTCTTGCGGATCCTCAGAGGCCTGGGGGCAACCCCAACGACTCCAAACGTGTCCAGAAACACCCGGCCACGTTCCAGTGTCACCTGTGCCCCAAGCGCTTCACGCGAGCCTACAACCTACGATCTCATTTGCGTACCCACACGGACGAGCGGCCTTTCGTATGCACTGTCTGCGGAAAAGCTTTTGCGCGACAGCATGATCGAAAGCGTCACGAGGGGCTGCACTCGGGCGAAAAGAAGTTCGTCTGTCGCGGTGACCTCTCGCGTGGTGGACAGTGGGGATGTGGTCGGCGATTTGCTCGTGCGGATGCTCTGGGTCGTCATTTTCGTTCCGAAGCTGGTCGGATCTGTATCAAGCCATTGTTGGATGAAGAGTCTCAAGAGCGGGAGCGCACGATGATGGATCAGCAGCAGCACCTACAACCTATACCACCTCCGTTGATGGTGCCAGGAATGGATGGCCAACATACCAGCAATTTCGTTCTCCCTGCCGCGTTGTTGGCCCAATACCCCGCGTTGCAGACCTTGCAGTGGGATCAAATCCCTGCCACCGCAGACGATCCCAGTGACATAGGAGGCCGCAGCAGTTTCGATGCCAGTTCCGGCGGAGAGTTTGGATTTGATGATGACGAATCCGGCCTCAGTAGTGTCTCTGGCATCAGCGGGAGCTACGGAGGCACGAGTAACATGTACGATGTGAACAATTCGGGCCAGATGTTAGGAGTGAACCCTGCAGACTCTGGCTATCGAGAAGCCGATTGGAGAGCATGACAACGCGGGTCTCGGTGATGCTCGCTCCCCCTCCCATATTTTCCTTCATTCTTAGCTCGGGTGCTATATCCTTTCACCCAATTTTTCTTCTTCTTTCCTTTCCCCATCTTTATCATTTAACAGGCGATATTTCTTTCCATTCTACCCGAAATCCGCGGCAACGTGTGCAGCAGGCTTCCTCATGATTTCGATTTCTCAATAGAACAGGGTTTTGGCGTTGAGATACAGGGAGACGGATTGGATTGGTGATTGATTGATTGATTGCCTCATGACGGCGGGTTTCACTTTCGTTCAGATCTACCACCTTCTATTCCTATTTCTTTTACTACTTTTCTTTCATTCTCAGCTGGTCTAACCCGACCACACATTATCATTCTATCTTGTTACGTGATTACGAAGAATCCTTGAACTTCATACCCATGGAAGATGCTCCCGGTTGTGTTTTCGTGTGCGAGGTTTAGGTTTTATTTATTTATTTTCTATTTCACTTATTACCCAGGGAAAAGGGATATACTCTTGAATACGGATTATTAAGTCATTTCGTTCCATCACATAAATTGTCCTGTATACGAGTACAAGATGTAATTGAATGGGGTGCGGTAGTCTTCTCTGCGGAGTATTACGCTAACATAACATAACATAACATAACATAACCGAAGAGATATTAATTTGTCCATTGCTGTCATACCAAAGTAGTAAGTAATTCTCTTCGGACAGGGGACGTAAGACATAGTCTAGAGGACTGGAGCGGAGGGGCATTTTGTACTCCCCCTTTTAATACGAATGATATACAAATACGGTAATGTTGATGATGGATGATAATGCATTCATAAACCCCCCAATGCCGCAGGAAACGCCCAACAGCTGACCAGCTAGCTCAAGTCCTTAATGGAACTGGTAATAGATATGATTTTTCTTTTTTAACTCTTTTAAGAGGTGGGATGGGATTGGATGATCAGATTTCCGTTACAACCATAAAACCCTCACCGCACCAATTTCCCAATCTCCTCAATCCACTTAGCATGGAACTCTTCCTCGGTGAATCTCAACGCAGACTTCCTGGCGCGTAAGCGCATTGCGACCTTCTCTTCGACCGGAAGCGCAAGCGCCGCCTCGAACGAAGCAGCGAATTGCTCCTCCGTGGAGGCGCGGAATCCCGTGGCGCCATCGCCAAGATCAATGACGATGTCTTCGCGGGGACCGCCGGAGTCGTGGACCACGCTGATCAGACCGGCGGCTTGGTACTCGACGACGCAGATGCCAAAGTGCTCGTTCCACATGGCGTTGACGCCGATGGAGGCCGTGGCGAGGTGCTCGAGGATGGTGGGCCAGCTGGCGTCGCAGATGAAGGTGGTTTGGTCGCGGATGCGGAGTTCGTGGGCTAGTAGCCGGAGGTTGTAGATGTGGGTTTCGTCGGGGCTGGCGTGACGGACAGAACCGATGAGGACGAGCTTGGGCTCGGTTTCGGGGTCGGCGTTCTGGTCGCGGCGCTCTTGGAGGAAGCGGGCGAAGGAGCGGAGGAGTAAGGGG